AGATTATTATATGAAGCCAGATGGCAGCTTGCACCATGCCACACATAACCATGTTTATAAGCACTACCTCAGCAGAACTCTGGTCTGACATTAACAGACTTACGGGACAGAATGTACATTGTACATTGTCCTATGCTTGTGTGTACACAACAGGGTATTTTAAATTGTTCCTCAAGGTTTTCTTTATCCCCTATCAAATTTTTAATTAAAAATTAGGAAAGAAAAATAAATCCTCAACTCTGGGTACAAGCTTAGATAAAAAGTAGCTTTTCTTTGAACAATGTGATATTTACTGTCACGCTTTCCGGATTTATCTGAATGCTTTGGGCATCTTTTTTCAGGTATGACTCAGGAGTTGGGTGTGTTGAAAATTGCTAACTCATGCCCTTCTCCAAGGCTAAGGTTATGAGGCTGATGCTAGAGAACCCTTGCCAAATTCCTGCAGATGCTACACAAACTACCTAGTGAAGTGCATTGGAGGATATTTTGTTTCAAGGATGTTTGTGTTTAAAAATGTTTATAGGTTGGGATTCAGATTTTTCTCATTGTCTGGATTAGTGATCTTGAGGACATGGTTAACTTTCACTCACCTTAAATTCATTTATATGAATTAGATCATTTAACATCTATTTTGCTGATGAGCCTTGTAAAGTGGGTGCAGTAAGTGAGGGATATATGCCGCATGCCTACTTGTAGGAATTAAAATCACATTAAACTCTCATTCTGATTATAGTTGCCTCCCAGTTTTAAGGTGCAGTGTTCTCAAACACACACAAATGAAATGACCATTAAGTAGCACTACTACGTAATGATGAAAATCCATTACAAGTAAACATTGTCTTAGTAACTAAACCCAGGCCTTTAGGCCTTTATTCATCAAACCAAGGTTATTGGGGACAGTGAGAAACCTTCACAAGGTCAACAAAGGTGGAAGAGTTTTACTGAATGATGCAATTTCCTTTTAAAATTAATAATGTCAGTATTGTTTCCAAATTAAAACAATGCAACTTCTCCTTAAAATTTTAAGTAAAATCTCGTCATTTTCTGCCTTCTTAGGTGACTAAACCCATTCTCCATTTCCTTATTTGTTGGGAATAATTACCACATGCAGGTCATAGTCCATCACAATTCTGGGTTATCAACTGAAAGACCTTGAATCATCAACTAAAGGAATTAGAGATGCTTTGAATCTTACCACATCGTTTTGTGATAAATGGATACAGAAGAGTAAAGTGATTCACTCAAAGAAAACTGAAGCCAGTGGGCAGATAGGCAGAGAAAACTCGAGACCACAGCTAGGAAGGTGGCCATTCCTTAGAAGGAGAAGGCAAGTGAAAGCGTGGCTGCTCCTGTGGACATTAATCATCTTCCAAGTCTTTTCCTTTGTTGTGATATCCCTCCTCTAGTTCTTCATTTATATTTTATAGTTGCAAAGTGTTAATCTGCTTTACATATAGGGCTTATGTGATGGGAGAGTGATTGCATGTTGACCAGTAAAGGTCAAAATGAGCTAGTTTGATGATTTTGATGATGGAGAAAGCTTCCAGACTCACCAACTGAGCAGTACAGGGTTCCCTCACTTCTGGTAACTGTATATGCCAAAGAAAACACTGAGCAGCCTTTCTCCTGCCTCAGGAAAACAGCACAACCATTGCTCAAACTACTTTTCAATTTGGTTTGTTAACAGCCTTCAGGTAATTCAAGGTCTGATATCTCTTTATTATCATGATCAACATGCTCATAGGTCTTGTGAAATTCAGCATGCAAGAACAATCTGGAACAGAAAGTTTTAAATTCTTACCACAATAACATGTCTCTGGGACTCTTAATGGGCAACAGCAAATTTCGAGGAGGTATTTAGTGATTATTTCAAAAAAATTCAAGCTATGGATAATCATGTACTATGAATTAAAGTAATAGTTGTCCTATGTGTGTCATATGCAGCCATTCTGTTTTAGAACACCATACTCTGTCATGTTAACATTTTTCTAGCCTAATCTTAGATGAATAGCCTTAGTATGATATTTAGCTGCTATTCAACTTGGGGTAAGCATGTAGCTCAATTGCTGGCTGCTTTCACAAGCAGGATAGAAAGGACAATTTTGACTAAGTATTTGATGCCTGTGCTGAGACATCGCTTGGACTAGAACTTCATAGAGACTTATGGTCTCATTTAATCCAACTTTCAAGTCACACTATACCTTCTTGTGTCAAAGGAGTTGAATATATAATTTTTTTAATTTTACATTGGTCTATTATATCTATATTCAAAATTAGCCAGTTCCCTCAGGATATACCCAAAGGAAACACTCTTGCTGTTTAATATCCGGAATGTTTAGAATGGTGGAATTTTCACAGGTTTTTATTGCTGGTAGGTAATTGCATTCTCATCACAGATTTGTAATGTCTGTATTATGGCTGGACCCCTTCTAACTTGACTCTGTTTTCATTGTGCTTAATTAGAAACTTATAGAATATGCAATTGGATAAGCATTCATTTATCCCTGTGGAGATAAACGCCCATGTTCCGGACAGAGTATGAGAAAATTAAACCTGTATACAAATAGATAGTCGTATACTACACAACAATAACAACAACAGCAAGTCATTACAAAAGAGGGCAGACAATTAAAAGTTATTTTTTAAGATATTTCACACCTATAACTACGCACCATGGAAGAACCTGGGTACAATCTGTTTTCAAGGCTGCCTGTTACTAATGACATGAGATATTCCTTAAAATGTAGGAAGAACAATCTTACAAAATTATTTTCACAAATCAAATTAAAGGAAACTCTTCAGAAGGAAAGGTCTAACTCATCAAAGCATATATATGAATGGGGACAGAGTGTACATCCATAGCAAATCTAGTGTCTACACTTGAAGAATGAAAACTGTGAGCAGCAGCCTAGAGAAACTGGGAAACATTCACAATTGCCTTGAGGGGTTTTGCCTTACAGGCTCTGAAGACCACTAACATGTATTGATTCCAGAACCAGTGTTTGCTGAAAACCTATTGCTTACTGAATTGATACAGTTTTCACAGTACAGCAAACACTCCCTGCTATTCCTTAAGAAAACTGACTCCAGAATATTTAGCAAGCAGCACTCACTCAATTGCTATGTTGCTTGGAAATGGGAAACGCAACTGTCACTTGTGAAATTCTGGATATCACTATCACCAACTTCCTTTTGAGATGCTCAGAGTAGGCTTTGCAACTGCCTTGGCTAAGATAAGCTGAAGTCTTAAACCCATGCCATTTAGTTTTATGCACATTATTAAAATATATTGACTACAGTTAAGTTTATTTAAAAAAAAAAAAAAAAGGCTCCAAGATCTATTTTTTCCCAGAATTTTCAAGAAGGGCAATCCTTGAGGAGGCCAAAGACACTCCTGCTATGCACTCTATCCATTTTATCAGTATCCCTCACTCCAACCTTTTGGATATTCACAGCGTTCATGCTCTCCAGAGAACAGAATGTGCTAAGGGAAATACACAGTTTAGAGCCACACCTTTGCATCATTTGGACAACACTGACCTCTAGTGTTCCAGAAGGTAGAGAAACTAGCTCAATAGCGAAGCTTACTTTCTGACTAAGGCTTTTGGGTCTTTCTATCTGGCACCAAGGGAATAATTTCAAGGAGAAGCAGGGAAGAGGAGGAAGAAAGGGGAACAAGAGAAGAGAAGTGGGAGAAGACAGCAGAGAAAAGTCAATCTCCCTGACTGACTGTGGCCTGCTTCAATACATCCTCTGAAATAATTTATTAGTTTATCCTCCCTTGTTAGAGAGGGTAGCCTTTTTTGCCCTCCTTTGTAACACAAACTTTAAGAAAGTGTGACAACTATGGATTGTGAGCTTTCCCATCTTTGGGTCACAGGAACACTGACCCTACTTTGAACATTTATCTATTTGTCTTCCCTCTGGGATGTAAATTCTGGGACAATATCCTCTAAGGATTAAGGAATAAGAGAGAGGGATCCTCAGTAGTAGGTCTTCTTGCCTTTTTTTCCCTGAGATTGGTAATACAAATTATAAAAGTAAAATAAAATTGTTCCCAAACTGGATAATATTTCCGAGGTTCAGTGCAGGAATAGAAGATCAATGAACAAATCCACAAACTTGAGGGACCATGGTAAGCTATCCGTGCAAACAACACAGACGGCTTAATTGCATCCTTTCTCATTTAGGAGTTCCCAGAGATGGAAAAACTTCCCTTCTTCTGCCTAGAGAAGCAGCTGAGCAACTGAGCTGGAACCTCTTGTAGCTTTAGCAATTTATTCAAGTTTGACAAACTGGATTCTTTAAATACATAGTGCAGGTGGCAGATCTCCGGGAGTTAAGAATACCTACCTATTAAATTAAGTGAAGTTGAAACATGGACAACCCAGTGCATACTCACTGCCCCTTCACTGGCACAAGAATATTGATGGTGAGCTGTGCATTAAAGCTCTCCCTCTGTAATAGGACAGCCATTGGTCTCCTAGGGTAGCTACATTTGGGCTACAGTTCTTAGGCCCAAACTCCCAATCCCCTTACACTGATGCCCATTGGTTACAAAACACCCCAGCTGAAACCTTCTACTTAAGACAGTGGAGAGAGCTAGGTGCTTAGGGTGGGGGTTGAAGGTGGAAGTGTTCAGAGCACATTGCAAGTCTGAGGGAGCTGCAGTCCGTCCGCTGCTGTCACTGAGCTCAGTGGCTCTGGAGCATCTCTGCCCCTGGAGGCTTGCTCCTGGCCCGTGCATTCATGTCTGAGATTAAGAACCATGGAGCTAGCAGGCTAAGGGAACTTTATGGTTCCAAAGAAGGGCAGCCAATCCAGCAGAGCAAGCTCATGAGAGTGCTGCTAACTTTTGGAATGGTTGGAATGGTGAAACCACACTAGTAAGGGTTTTCACCCAGCTCTTTCCCAGCATGTATACAGTCGGACAGTGGATACTTATTCCTAGTAGCGTCATATCCCACCTCACCTTCCCGCCCCCAGCTCTGAGTACTCACAATTTGTTGCTGTTAATCCTAAATGCCAGAAGCCAGAGAGCACCAAAGTCAAAACGCTGGTCAGTCTTGGTACAGAATCCATTTCCCCGAGTGAACGATCTCTTCCAATCGAATTCCAAATTCGCAGGCAACAGCTTTGGCTTTTCTCTCTTTTTCCTTTCTGTCTCTGTTTTCTCTCCTCCGCACCGCCGAACCCCCTCCCACCCCCCTTGAACAGACACTCTTCTCCTTTACTCCATCCTGCTCCTCAGACGCTCCACCGAAACAGTGGCAGGGCTTCCTCGGAGCTGCGAGCTGCGACGGAGGTTTATAGTTCCTTCAACTGCCCCTTTCTGTGCTCGCCTTCCTCATCTGCGTCTTATTCCTCCGGATCTCCTTCCTTAACGGTTCAAATCCAAACTCGAGGGCAGCTCTGGGCACTCAGCTCCAGCAATAGCCAAAAGCACCTCGTTCCGGCGTTAGAGCTGGATTCAGCACCGGGGTGGCGGACAGCTCCTTATAGGAGCCTGTGCGCGGCACCGCCCCCGGCCGGGCCCGCCCCGCGCTTGCCTAAAAGAGTGGCCTGGGCGGGTCCTTGGTCGCTAGCGCGTCCCCAGCAGACTTATGCTGCACTTAGGCTACCTGCTGGGAAGGCAAGGGGGAAAGATCTCTCTCTCTCTCTCTCTCTCTCTCTCTCTCTCTCTCTCTCTCTCTCTCTCTCTCTCTCTCTCTCTCCTCTCCCTCTTTTTTCCTCTCACTCTGTCCTGTTCACCCATACATCCCAGCATCCCTAAATCCATAACTACTTACCCCTTCCCTTCCTCTTCCTCCCAAATGAGGATCCAGATATTGACATTTAATTCAGGTTTTTCGAACAAAGCTACTGAAGCGATGCCTAAAGGAGTTGGAAAACAGAAGCCTTAGGAAGAGGAATTTTCCCATGGAGAGCTTGGCAATGACCTAACCTGATACCTAAAGCCTTTCCTTTTACTTGGCAGGGGAGAGTCAAAGAAAGCTTGAATTGTGCGATTCAATTTCCTCTGCAGGGATGTGTGATTGACAGGTATTGATCTAATTGGGATTTCTGGTTTAGCCATTTAGGGATATGACTTCTCCCCTGCTTTTCCGACTTCTACATCTGTTTCTCTCCCTGGTCGCTGTTGGCATATTGCTTCCGCAAGTACTGCAGAGTAATTGGGCTGTGGGTTCCAAAGGATCTGAGGTGGTTCACTTGCATCAGAGAGAAATGTTTGGAGGAGGAGAGGCGGGGGCTGGAAAGATGAGCGGAGAAAAGTGGGTGTGGAGGGTCGGGTGTGAGCCCATGGTTGGCTCTTAAAAGCTTTATATCTAAAAAAAAAAAAAGATGGGTTTTGATTTCTTCCTCGAGGCTCTCTATTAGAGATCTTGGTTCTTTAGCTTCTAGCATGCATCGGGGGACTGGCTTGCTTTGCCATAGATCAACTTATTTTGTGTTTAGTGGAAGCTGCCAGAAACCTGTCAAATGTTAACAAAACAAGGAACCAGTAATGATATCTTCTATGTGAAGTTTACAATCAGGTTAAAGTCTATGGGCTCTCTCTATGTCAGGGGAGCTGATGCCTCTCCTACTTGCTTCTCATCCCCAGCATTAGTGAGCACTCAGACTTATTTTACACCACAGAGTCCTGACAGTCTTTGGTCTCAGCTGCCTGCTCTGTGGCCACTGGACACGGGGCTGAGTTTCAAGTAACCTTTGCATGAATTCAGACCTTAACCTTGTAGTCTGGGAGTTTCAGATGCTGGAATACTAAAAGACAGTTCAATAACAATTAGAGCAACTGCACCATTATTTTATTAAAGAAAAAATTCTGAAAGTTCTACTAGTTGTAAACAAATACCCTTTTGTCTATAAACTGACTGAAAACAATTATGTCAGTAGATTCCTGGTTCACAGGAAACTCAGCATAAGATTTAAGTTGAGATATAAGCACATACAGGGACTTGGACTCCCAAAAATATCAATGCTGAGGGACCCAGCTTTTTCTGTCCTGTTGGGAGGGGACCGTAGGAAGGAAAAAGGTAAGGAAACCCTAAGTCTCTTTTCTTGTGCTGTTTTCTCCCTCCAGCCTTTCTAAGGGTAGTCCCAAAGATACTGCCATCACAGGTCCCATCTTTGGGAGCCCCAGATTTAATGTTACCCTCTGGTTAGTTTAATCATACTAGAAAGGTCTTGAACATACATACATACATACATATACACACATATGATATATATACATATATACATATATGATATATATATATATATATATATATATATATATATATATATACATGACCCTGAATCAATTTGTATGTTCTAAGTATATATAACATTTAGACCTTTTCTATTTCTTAAGATTTAAAAAAAAATATTTTAACTATATGTGTCTAAATTTATACCACATGCATTCAGTGCCACCAGGGACCAGAAAAGTATGTCAGATCCCCTAGAACTGGAGTTACCAATGGCTGTGAGCTGCCTGATGTGAGAACTAAACCCTATCTTTTATAAGAGCAGCAAGCGCTCTTAACCACTGAGCCTTCTCTTCAGCAATGACTCTTAGACTGAAGAATTGAATGGTTTTTATAGAAATAAAATATTACAGACATAATTTATAACTTTTCAAGTTTTTTGTCTCTAAGCATTTATACCAATTCATGACTATAAAAAAATGATTTTTAATGTATTATCCCCATTCATAATGCTTTTATGATTTCACCAACATGTATGACCTTAAGCAACATATTGTATTATTTTGATTATCTTTCATCAATTTAGAAATAGTGGGGCTAGGAATGCAGCCCAGTTGGTGAAGTGCCTATCTAACATGCAGAAGCCTTAGGTTCAATCCCCAGTACTACAAAACTGAGTGTGGTTGTTGGGCCTAATGAAATACCCATAATGCAAACACTATGGAGGTGGAGACAAGAGATCAGTAGTTCAAGATTATCCTAGGCTATATAAGTCATTGCAGGCCAAGAACCCACTGTTCTGATTTATCTATTGCTTATCTATCGCTCTGATTTATCTATTGCTTATCTATCTATCTGTCTATCTATCTATCTATCTATCTATCTATCTATCTATCTATCTATCTATCTATCAATTTATCTATCTTCTAGCTAATATGTATAGAAATGACATCAAACTGTTTAATTTTCTCTGTTTTAATCTATTCAATGTTATTGATGAAATTTAGTGTTTTGATACATGAATCCCTTCTTGTGTCATCTTATCCACTATATTCTTTTCCATTTTATGAATATGCCAATGTTTACTCATTAGTGGTCCTTATGCCTCAGTTATTTCCAGTTTTCTCCTCCAATTTAAACTCTAAAATCCTTTAACACCTTGTAATCTGTCTCACTTTTAGTAGTGAAAATTTTGCATTGTTACGAAATGTTCTCCTTTATTGTTTTGTGTCTCTCCAGTGTTATGTAATACAATGGCATCAAATCATGTTTCTTCTTCTGATAAAAGTGTGTGAGATTCTCCAGAGGGAAGCATCCTAGCTTTTTTTTTTTTTTTGAAGAGAAAAATGATAGCTAAGAATCAAGGCCAATGTTCTTTAATAGCCTCATGGCTTCTATTTATCTCTAAAATACAGTTTAATTAAGTATAATATTTAAACGAGAGATTTAACAGTTCTGCCTTTTCTAGCAGAATCACTCAAGATGAACCATTAATGCCAGAGAAATGTGCTGACTGTGTATGTTCAGACAACTGAGCACCATATCACTATGGAGTCCACAACTGTGATTTATCTTCAAGTTGTTGATAAATACCATCACTCCCTGTTTTAGATGCTCACATGCAGACATAGCATATAGTATATAAATTACCCCTAATTTACAACCCTATTTACAGTTGTAGCTTTTATTTTTTGTCTCAGACACACCTGTTCTTGCAGCAACTTTGAGCTTTAACTAGCAGACGCTTGTCTAAGATTTGCCAATGTTTCAGCAAGCTTATTGTGCTTCTGACGGTGGTGAGGGGCAAACAGCTGTTCCTTACAGACAGTAGTGTAAACAATGCCATCTTCTGAGGGTGTTTTGACTGCAAGGAGTTTTTAGTCACAGTAGAATATTAATCACTATTAACACTGTTTTCAGCCACATTGCTATTTACCTACTGAAATTTTTCCTTTCAGAGTGCTTTTAATTCTATCGATGCAGCTGCTCCATGATAGAGAGAGGCTAAATAATCATGTATTTCTTCCCATGTTGCAGCACATAGAATAATTTATACCTGCAGAGCATCTGAGTTTGAAGAGATGTGCAGTTTTTGCACAGTCAGTGGGTACTCAGTATTAATACAAAATGAGGAAAAGTGGACAGTGAAGCCTTGGAATGTCTATATTTTAAAATAATCTATTTGGACACCTTCCCAAATCAAAACCTTATTCAAATTAAAAAGAAAAAGAAATGGGGTTTTTATCAGTTGATAAATTTCATATAAGCTTGAGGACCTGAGTTCACTTCTCTGACATTTAAGTAGAAATCCTGGTGTTATCTGGCACATCTGTAACCTTAGTCATAGGGTAGGAAGTGGAGAGAGGCAGAGCTCTAGCACTAGTTGTCTAGCCAGTCTAACCAGTCTGTGGACTCTGAGTTCAAATGGAAGACTGTCTCAAAACCAGAAGGTTGATAGTAATGTCCACATGAATTTTAACACATAAACACATATACCTACAAACACATGTACGCACCCACACATTATTCATAAATGCACATATGTACTACACATTCATACAGGAAAAAATGAAAGAAAAAGTAGTGGAGTAAATTGTATTGTGTTTCACTCTTCTTTCATTTTCTCCTGAACACTTCTATTTCTTCCATAATGGAACTAAGGAAAGTAATCACATGGTGTCTTTGCTGTTGAATGGTCCATCTACTGATTTCACAATACTCTTGAGAGGCATATCTTAAAGATATATTTGGTCATCTTTATTTTATTAATGGGATTCTAGTAGGAGACATAGTGAAATGTTAAATAGTACAAAAATTAAGGGCTTCTACTCATAGGCCACTGGCCAATGAGTCCCCCACCCAGCTGTTTTCCTTTACCTTTGGAGTCCTGTAGGATATAATTGCTGTAATGTGGAGGCTGGAGTATATGGAAACAGAGCTTACATATAATCACACTGTCCACTCTGTTTTCAAAATCACTATTTTTGGATGATTTTTACTTCACATTTCATGGTTTGTTTTATTGACTGAAGGATGATTACTACCACATTTTCAGTTTCTTGTTTTGTTTTTGTAAAATATCAGTGTAGCCCGAGGTCATTATTTTCCTTTGTAACTTAATTTTCTTGTTTGGTTTTCCTTCCTTATAGTAAATGGTTTGTAACAGGGCAAAGTAAGTAGAAACTTGCTACCCTTGACCCTTGCAGGCCTAAAACTGACTTAAGAAAATAGGATGGGAAACACGTAAGATAATAGCAGCTATTAGCATCAGACTCTGTGTCAAGTGTCTCCCATTATGAACACTGCTGGAGATTTTAAGATGACAAAGATCACTTCCTGTGAGAAGAGAAATTCTCAGTTGGCATAATGAATCAATTCTTTGTCTCTTT